GGGGACTGGCCAAGGGTGGGATGACGGTTCGTGATAACTACAACTAGTCCGAGTGGCTGACTTTAGAGGGGAGGGGACTAGTTGAGCTGACCTTTTTGTTTCTCCCATTTGTTGTTGCTGAGATTCTGAAACCTAATTCTGTATTCATCTGTGCCAATTGACTTCTATCTCATTCAGTTCACATCACTATAATGAAGGCTTCACAAGACGCTCTCCCATCACCGCCCCTATCCGACACCGATGAAACAGCCCCCAAAACACCAGTAGAATCCCTTGCAGCCCTGATAAAAACAACCTATAGAACCTCCGATATAAAATTCTACATCAATGGCCGACCAGTAACCGTCAAGAACCCCAACCCGGATTGGGTTCTCCTCGATTGGATCCGAGCTCAAGACTCCTTGAAAGGAACGAAATTAGGATGCGGAGAAGGAGGTTGTGGAGCGTGTACTGTTGTCCTCCAGACGCTTGAAAATGGACGGGTTAGACATCTTGCCGTGAATGCTTGTTTATATCCGCTTGTTGGCGTTGATGGCAAGAGTCTCATCACTGTTGAGGGGCTGGGCACGGTGAAGAGGCCGCATCCGCTTCAGGAGAGGATTGCCAAGATGCAGTAAGTTAAATCATAAGTTGAGTGAAAATAAGAGACTAATTGGGGTAGTGGCACGCAATGCGGTTTCTGCACGCCGGGAATTGTCATGAGTTTGTATGCACTCATCAGAAACTCGTACCGCGATGGGAAATTCCACTTGACCAACTCCGAAGTCGAGCTACAGGGCCATTTAGACGGGAATCTGTGTCGCTGTGTAAGCTAGCCCTTTAGAGCTATTTTTCACCTGCTTACACAAAGTAGACCGGCTACAAACCCATATTTGAAGCAGCGCGAACCTTTATCACAGAAGACCTCAACGGAACAATAGCCGAGATCAACGGCAAGGAGATAACCCCGGAGAAAACCACGGAAGACGACTATGCAACTGTCGCGCGCGAAGCTAACAAGACTGGGTCATGCGGTCGTCCTGGAGGATGCTGTCGAGATAATCCCGAGTCAAAAGGCTGCGGGTCAACTGGTGTTGATGAATCGAACCCGAAGGAGATGGAGACACCAATAACAGCTCCCAGACCGCAAGAAACACCGAGTACACCACCAAGATCACCCAACAAGCCGGCGTTTGGTGAGACATTCTTACCATACGATCCCTCAACAGAGCCTATCTTCCCTCCAGCGCTACGAAAGTACGAGCCTCAGCCGATCTGCTACGGCGATAATCGAAGACTCTGGTTTCGACCGACAAACCTTCAGCAGTTGATCGAGCTGAAAGGTGTATATCCAGAGGCCAAGATCGTCGGCGGTGCAAGTGAGACTCAGATCGAAGTTCGCTTCAAGAAGAGAGCTTATCGCGTTTCTGTGTTTGCAGCAGATATCACTGAGCTGAACAGCTTCAGCGTGGATCCCCTGCAGATGAAACAAGCTGAGCTTGAATCGCTGAAGTGTATCAGTATACCCGGAAACCTTTCCTTGACCAAGGTTGAGGAAATGTGTAGCGTCTTGTACGCCAAGCTAGGTCAACGAGCTTCACCGCTGGAAGCCCTGCGAAAGCAACTTCGGTATTTCGCTGGTCGACAGATCCGCAATGTAGCCAGTCTAGCAGGCAGTCTCGCTACAGCAAGTCCCATCTCCGATTCCGCACCCGTCCTCTTGGCAGCAGGAGCCAAAGTGAAGATTCATTCTCAAACCGGCGGGACAACTGAGATACCGTTGTCTTCATGGTTTCTGTCATACAGAACAACAGCACTTCCTGAAAACGGAGTCATAACGGAGATTGTGATTCCGCTTCCGAGTGAGGAGATTGAGATAACGAAAGCTTATAAGCAGGCGAAGAGGAAGGATGATGATATCGCTATTGTCACTGCTGGGTTTAGGGTGAGGTTGGATGGGGATGGGGTTGTGGAGGATGCTGCTTTTGCTATTGGTGGTATGGCGCCGACGACTGTCATGGCTGAGAAAGCGCAGAAGACTGTCGTGGGGAGGAAGTGGTCTGATATGAAGACCTTGGATGCTGCGATCGATGCGCTTTTGGAACAGTTTCAGCTTCCGTTTGGTGTACCTGGCGGTATGGCGCATTATCGAAAAGGTCAGTTGATTCATGAACACCCTTTCCTTCTTGCTAATCATGCTACAGTTCTTACTGTCTCCATGTTCTTCCGCTTCTGGCATGAGGTGGTTCATGATCTTGGTCTCGGCGAAGTCGATGCCGATCTCATTGAGGAGATTCACCGCGGCATCTCATCCGGCAATCGCGATAACTTCACCTCGTCGATGTTGAACAGAGGTACCAAGAAAGTCGGCCGCCCAATTCCCCATCTCTCGGCCGTCAAACACTGTACCGGCGAGGCGGAGTATGTCGATGACATGCCACGTCAGCACAACGAACTCTTCGGGGCCCTGGTTATGTCCAAAGCAGCTCATGCTGAGATTCTGAGTGTGGACTACTCAGCCGCCTTGGAGATGGCTGGTGTAGTTGGCTATATCGATAAGGACAGCATCACCAAGGAGCAGAACACCTGGGGCCCTGTCGTCCTCGATGAACTCATCTTTGCAGATGGAAAGTCCAACTACTACGGCCAAGTCATAGGTATGATCTACGCCGAGACAGCACTTCAAGCTCGTGCTGCTGCCGATGCAGTCACTGTGACATATAAACGCCTCCCCGCCATCTTCACAATCGACGAAGCCATCAAAGCAAAGAGTTTCTTCAAACATGGTAAAGAGCTTCGAAAGGGCGATGCTCTCAGTGGTTCCCTAGATGAAGCATTTAGCAAGTGCGCTCACATCCTCGAGGGCACCACCCGCATGGGCGGCCAAGAGCACTTCTATCTCGAGACCAACGCAGCGCTTGCGATTCCTCACATGGAAGATGGCTCAATGGAAGTATACATCTCAACGCAGAACCTCATGGAGAACCAAGTCTTCACCGCGCAAGTCCTCGGCGTGCCTATGAATAGAGTGAACATGCGTGTGAGGAGAATGGGAGGTGCGTATGGAGGTAAAGAGTCGAGAACGACGGCTCTATCGATGTACCTTGCTCTCGCGGCGCAGAAAACGGCGAGGCCTGTGAGAATGATGCTGAATCGCGATGAGGATATTGCGTTTAGTGGACAGCGCCATCCGTTTCAGTCAAAATGGAAAGTTGGTGTTGATGAGAAGGGCAAGATACAGGTTTTGGATATCGATATCTATAACAATGCGGGTGCTTCGTTGGATATGAGCGGTGCAGTCATGTAAGACATCCTTAAAAGTGACAAGACGAGCGGCTAACAGTGATAGGGACCGAGCTTGTACGCACGTCGACAACTGCTACCACATCCCTCACGCTTGGATCCGTGGACACGTCTGCAAGACGAATACAGTCAGCAACACAGCGTTCAGAGGTTTCGGCGGTCCGCAGGGGATGTACATCACCGAGACTATCATGTTCAACATCGCAGAGTCTCTAAACATGGACGTTGATGACCTTCGAATGCAGAACTTGTACGAAGTCGGTCAACGAACACCTTTCTTGCAGGAGATCACAGACGACTTCCATGTTCCTACCATGATGGAACAGCTGAGTTCCTCCTCCGAATTTGAGAAGCGCAAGTCGGCCATCAAAGAGTTCAACTCCAAGAATCGCTTCAAGAAGCGAGGTATTTCCAGGATCCCAACCAAATTTGGTCTAAGGTAAGTCTCATGAGACAAATTATCAGCACCTAACTCACAGAACTAGCTTCGCAACAGCCCTCCACCTTAACCAAGCAGGAGCCTACGTCAAAATCTACGAAGACGGCTCAGTCCTCCTCCACCACGGCGGCACGGAAATGGGTCAAGGTCTATACACCAAGATGACCCAAGTAGCAGCTGAAGAGCTCAACGTGAGCGTCGATTCAATCTACAACAAAGAGTCCCAATCAGACCAAGTCGCCAATGCCTCACCCACCGCTGCATCGTCTGGTAGCGATATCAACGGCCAAGCTGTGAAGAATGCATGTGATCAGATTAATGAGAGGTTGAAGCCGTATAGGGAGAAGTTTGGTAAGGATGCTAGCATGGCGGTCATTGCGCATGCTGCGTATAGGGATAGAGTTAATCTGGCGGCGAATGGGTTTTGGAAGATGCCGAGGATTGGGTATGAGTGGGGAAATTGGAAGGATCCGTTGCCGATGTGAGTGTGCTGATCTCTGATGCCGAGGATCTACTGACTTTGAGGGTTAGGTACTATTACTTTACGCAAGGAGTGTGAGTTCTACCTGGTCATTCTCGATGGGGAGTTTTGCTAACGATGATTCTAGGGCCATATCTGAGGTAGAGCTTGATACTCTCACTGGAGACTCGACAGTGCTGAGAACAGATCTCATGATGGTACATTAGCAGTGCAACAACTACCCGTCAGTTCTGACTATTTATAGGACATCGGTCGGTCTATCAACCCAGCAATGGACTACGGTCAAATTGAGGGTGCTTTCGTCCAAGGCCAAGGTCTCTTCACAATGGAAGAATCCCTCTGGATGAAATCAGGTGAAATCTTCACCAAAGGCCCAGGAACATACAAAATTCCCGGTACGTCCTCTCCTCTCATACAACCAATTTCCCATTTACTGATCCATCTAGGTTTCTCCGATATCCCCCAAGTCTTCAACGTAAACACCCTCCAACACGACGCACAAGGCAACCCAATCAATTGGTCAAAACTAGGCTCCATCCAAAGCAGCAAAGGTGTCGGCGAACCTCCTCTGTTCTTGGGTTGTGCTGTCTTCTTCGCTTTGAGGGAGGCAGTCAAGTCTGCGAGGGGGATGAATGGTGTTAGTGAACCTTTGGTGCTGGATGCTCCGTGTACGGCGGAGAAGTTGAGATTAGCTGTTGCAGATGATCTTGTGAGGAGGGCGGTCGTTGAGAGGAAGGATGATGAGCAGGAGTTCTTTATCAGGATTGAGTCTTGATACGTAGATAAAGCTTACTAGAATTATATGATGTACAAAGGCTGAGGTTGACTCTCGTTGGTGATCATTCCATACCATCCGCCCACTTGTAGATAACTCTCACCTACCAAGTGAAACTCATCGCCTCCACTGTCGTTAATCTCTCTCAAAACGAAAGGAACCGAAGCCCCAACACAGATGAACAAGTGATCTCCAATCTCTGCTTCCGCCGGCGCAAGTCCGAAATATCCTGTATCAGTAACAAAGCACCGCCGCAAATGACAAGCCTCCAGATTCCCACGTATCGTATTCCCATAACTTGATGGCCAACCCTTCGCTGCATAATGAAAAGGGATATCCCTGAACGGCAGCACACCATCTTTCCTCTCAAGAGCCAACTTTCGTATTCGCTCTTCCCATTTAAAACCAAATTTGTACTCCTCATAGGCTTCGCAAGAGCCTCCAATGATAAAATCTGGTTTCGGAACGCCATCGTCTTCTTCTTCTTCTTTCATGGTTGACCCGTATAGATAACGAGCAAGTACGAGAAACCTGAAGAAGAATTCTGTGCGATGAGGAAACTTGACGTCTGCTGAATTGGTTCCAGGGCGTGTTGATAGATCAATCTTGGCGACGAGACTATACCACTCCTCGACTGGAAATGGTGTTTGGCCCGCGATGTAAGTTGACCCCAGTTTCGCAATCTTTCCACACGAATATCCATATCCATACAAAGCAGGTATTTCTTCTTCACCCGCGCTGCGCATCACGATCCGTGGTCTGAAAGGAACGGCCGGGAGCAACACGTCCACCCAAAACTCGCCTATTCCCAGAAACGCATCTGTGCCGATGATATGTCGCTGAGGCGGTACGTTCCAATCTGGCACCCAAGAGGGCAGATTCTCTGTCCTCGAGTTCCCTTGAACAGCGTACAAGAGGCTCCAACCGCAAGCTGGTAGTATAGACAGAGCACAGTCCGTGTAGATTCTGGCTGGGGTATCTTGGTACCTTGGTATGAGGTCAAGTGACTTGCTGTAAGACTGGAGGATCGGGAGTAGGCTATAGATCTTGTCGCGTGGGTCAGTTGCCTCGCAGTGTCGTGAATCAAGAAGAGCATGGAATATGAATCTTTCGGCGTTCTCTACTGTAAGAGATTTGATAGCTTTTGAGACCACGTATGGCAGTCGAAACTGCAGTCTCGTATTGACGAGATAATGCTTGAAGTTCTCCATTGCAGGCCATGGAATCTTTTTTTCTCCGCAGTACACGGTCTTCTCTGATGATAGAAAGACTTCTTGAATCACCCACACCCTGGTAAACCAAGGCCGAAGGAAGAAATTGCGGAGTGCGTCCATTAAGGTATCGGACCTTGGGAAGCTTAAAGAGGAATTATCGGGAGATGGATCATAGCACTCCATTATGAATTCGATGGCCAAGTCGCTATCGTCCGAAGATCCGCCGAGATAAATGATCACGCCTGCGGCTTGAGAGTATATCCTTGACATGAGGCTGACTTGGTGATTTCTCTCTTCAGTATTGGATTGATCGATAGCTAGGGCGTCAATCCAAAGAACCCTAGTCTTATCTTTATATCGAAGGCGTTTTAAGGCCGAGAAGCAGTTGGAAGTAACCGAGAATTGTTGCGGAGTCGCGGAGTCTTGGGTGGTCATGTCGATCCTCTCTGCACTGGAAGCATCACCCCACGTGTACGATAAAGCTTCATATTTTGGTGCGTCGTTGATAGAAACTGTTATTAGCTCACAGCAAACAGCTGCATCAGTCCCGGGCCGCAGGTGGACGAGGCGAATGTGTGACGAACTAGGCAGTGGAGGTCCAGGATATGGCTGAGCCAGCTGAGTCTCCAATGCCTTTGACATTCTTGCAACACCAGTTCGACTGGGTCGGATGTATTGGACCGATTGGTGTCGAATGAGCTCTGAAGTGATTGCCAGATGAAAAGCTTGGTAGAAAGAATCCTTGGAGAAACGCTGGCCTTGAGTGAAATAATACGCGCTGCTCTCAGTTTTCACCTAAATACTTAGCGCCGAGTTCGGATCTTGTCCAATAGATGAGGTTGAAAAGCGCAGCTGGAAGCACGCTTGTTGTGGCTGTACAATGCGTTTTCTTATTTACAGTGGGCTAGGCTTCTAATCCTATGTCTGATACTGACCTATCAATTCGAGAATTACCCAGTCTTACCGCTGAGCCCCAACCCCGCAGTGAGAAGACCATTTCTTATGATCAGATCCCAGTTCAACATTGGAATAATTCTCTTTAATTGTAAATTGGGCTTCAAAAGCAAATTGTTGTGACTTACCACTTTTGCTCAATTGGGGATTAAGATTCAAAAGATTTTGTTAAAGCCGTCACATGTCTGCTACCCATGAGGCCAAATAGGGTTGCAACAATCTGTTCTCAATAAACTTGTCATAGAATTGCCCAACGACTCATCTACCTACTGATAAAGGAATGCCTTATTGAAATTATTGGTATTTCAAGAAAGACCAATTTAAATACTACCAAAAGTCTAATTGGAGGTTGAAAAATCATCATTTTCTAGCTTACATATTCTATTGAAGCTTTATCCATGAGTAATACATAGAGAGTGTGCTTGCAGCAGCCACACATGCAGCAACTCCTCCATATTGGCGGATATTCCTCACCAGCGATTTAGGGTGCCAAGATCGAGATCCTCCAGACTTAACAAAGGAATTCTCATCAGGGAACAGAGTGGCAATCCAGAACTCAATAGCTAGACCAGGCCAGGAAGCCACATTCCGTCCAAAATCACCGATATACCAGTTGCTACAATCTCCAGCAAATACACTATTCTTCAACTTCTGGTGTATCTGGTTGGTGGTATAGTTCTCAACTGCCTCCTTTACCTCGATGGCAGAAGCTTGACCATCGATGATAGGTTTGACAAGAGTTTTGGCAGCGTAGCCGACCTGGACTTCACATGCGTAAAGGGCTGAATTATTGGCAGGGAAAGTGTTGGGGCCGAATCTGTAGAAGTCAGAAACCATGTTCTTACTCAGTGTACACTTTGACGTACATGATAGCCATATTGGGGAAGTTGTGCACGAACGTGCCGAGGTAAGCCTGTGCGCCACGGCTTTCTCTCCATTGCTGGTCCAGCGTATTTCCGTCTGCACCAACAATGTCCATTGGGGTAAGAAACTCGGTAACCTTAAACCCCGTCGCCATGACGATAATGTCATACTGATCATGGCGTCCAGATGAGCTGATGATGCCATCCTCTGTAATTTCCTGGATTCCTTCGGGGATGAGTTCCACGTTGTCTTGATGTAAGGTTGCGAGGTAATCTGGGTCCGCAATTTTTCTCTTACAGCCAAGTTGGAACGTAGGAACCAGGATATCGTGGTACTTCTCGGGAGCTTGTTCAAAGATGTATCGACGAGCTCTTTCTTCTTCTCTCAATCGCTGTTCTACACCCGCCTTTGTTCCTCTGTAGGTGTAAGATTGTTTATCAATATCCCAGAAGATGTTCCAACGATGCAGACGCATCAAACCGGGAAGATAACGAAAACAGAGCTTTTCGAAACCGGTGAAGTGGCGGTTGGGACGAGCATGGTACCATTGGGGGCTACGCGCGTACTGGGTAACAGAGGCAGCTCTTTCTGCAACGGCGGGGATTACCTGTACAGCGCTGCATCCACTTCCGATGACAGCCTTGTCTTGGTTAACGAAGGTTCTAGTCAAATTAGGGACAGTGGATTACACGAACCACTCGCTTGCCTTCATAGTTGACATCATGCCTCCATCGAGCAGTGTGGAACACTGGACCACGGAATGCTTCCATGCCATTGAAGTGGACCTATTGTATCAGGCACGTCAGATTAGGTGATACAACGATAATGCGTAGAGAGACAAACATCCCTAGGCATGGAAATTCCTCCCACAGCCGAGATAAACATGGTAGCTTGTCGGACAAAAGTGATATCTGTTTGGAGGTCTCTCAATCTCACATGCCATTGGCCTTCTGCTTTGTCCCACTGCGCGCCCAGGCATTCGACTGAGACATTGATATGGGGACGTAGCTGGAATTTGTCGACTGTGTCCTCTATGTACTGGAGAATCTCTCCTTGTTCGGCGAGTTGCTTTGACCAATTGGGGTTGAGATTGAAACTGAATGAGTAGAGATGAGAGTGCACATCACAACCGCTACAAGCTTGATCAGCGATGTCATGCCATGAGGTTTAAGTACATCACTACTCACCAGCCAGGATAGCTATTTGCCCTCCATGTTCCTCCAACTCCATCCATCTTCTCGTAGATTATGAAGTCGTTGAAGCCAAGCTCATACTTCATTTTATGGGCCATGGCAATACCAGAGGGCCCAGCACCAATGACTATAGCTGAAGCAGCCATTCTTTACTGAATGGCCGTGGTTCTTGCCGTGTAAATGGAGCTAATGCGAGGCTAATAAAGGCTCGATGTCCGCTTGGCTCAGATGGGTGAGGAGTAGTGTCAATTGTCAAGTAAAGCAAAGGGGATTTGTATTGGAGATGACAATTCTCTGTTTCACGGGGAAAAAAGCCTCTAATCTTATCGAGTCGAAGGAAGAAGTTATATCTATCATTACACAAGGTTGAAATGAATATATTGTCTCTACACATTGGATGTCTTTGCCTTCAGGCGACGTCCGTCATCCAAATTGATCGGGATCTAGTTTCCGATTACTTTGTCACCTTGAATCCCCGCTTCTGTGGGTCACGGAAACCCCCAAGTCCCGCTGTCGCGTAAGCCAGATTCCGCCGAGAGCATTGTCTCGCCTCGGACTACTTGCCGTATTTCTTGGGATTTGTACTGTACTCAATATACCATGTTTCCTCAAAAATTCATCATTTACCCATAAAACTAGTTATTTCTAGCGCAACATAGTCAGCCGTTACTTGACCTTAGCTTTTCCAATTACAGAGGTGCGATGGACTATTGCTCGAGCTTTGTGTTTGATATGCTAGTTAGAGAGGATAATTCGGCCCACTTGCTAGAATTTGCAGGCCATCAATCAACGTAGACTGGTCTTGAAACATCTTCTTTTTCAAGCAAGCACCTGTCAGAAAGAGAGGACCACAGGGCCCTGATAATAGACAGTTCAAAGCATACGCACAGCTATGAGTTATATTGTGGCACGCAATTGACTACTGATAAAACACTGAGGATCCACCATCAACGATCAGATTTTGTCCCGAGACGTATTGTGCCATGTCACTAAGGAAGAAGAGAACGGGTTTTGCGATATCTTCTGGTACTCCCAACCGCCCCAGAGGAACTCTCCCCTTCATCACCAGTCTCTTTGGTCCTACCAAATCTTGCTTGTTCATTGATGTTTCGATGGTTCCTGGACTGACACAATTAAATCGGATACCCTGTTTCCCAAACGCCACAGTCAAGCTAGAATTGAGTCCTAAAATGGCTGCTTTGGTAGATGCGTAGTGTGTCAAGCGTTCAGATCCCATTGACGCAGAGATGGAGGCAATGTAGACGATGGACCCTCCAGATTGCTGTTTGATCATCTGTTGAATGACAGCCTGTGTGATGGCAAACGGGCCATTAAAGTTCACATCCATGTGGGTTGCGAGTTGTGGTTGCGTGACATCCAAGAAATCTTCGAATTGGCATGTGCCAGCATTGTGAACAATGCCATTAATGGCACCAAACGTTGAAATAGCTGCTTTGACAATCCTAGACGAAACAGTAAGCCAAGACAAAGAACCTCTGGTTACAGAGGTCAAAAGACGCTACTGACTGGTCGCCAGCGTCTGGTTGCGTCACATTGACTGCGACTTCCACGGTTTGTGGAGATTTGGCGTCTTGATTAGAGATATCCGCCAGCTCTTCTCTCAAGCTTTCCATATCCTTTGATGATTGGGGATCTCCCAGATAGTGAAGGATGAGCTTTGCTTCTTGCTGTGCGCACTCTAAGGCGATTGCACGGCCTATTCCAGAGCTGCAACCAGTGACGCTTGACTTGTGAGCGCTGCGTACATTTCGACAACGAGATTTATCCAAACTCACGCAATAATCTTTCCAGAGAGAATATTTGCCATCTTTAGCTTGAAATGAGGATGGCTACCGGTAGCTAGTGTAGTTCGACGATGCGAAAGGCCTGTTTATGGATAAGTATACCCCCTTGTCTCAAGCGAACCCTTCGAGAGACAAATTCCTCAACTTACGAGCCCTATATACTTGTTCTGTTCGGGATCCAGATTCCGACGTCTCTGTTTGCGAATTCTTAACGTATCTTAATGAAATGAAGCTCAAACCAAAACCTTGCATTTATATGCTGGAATCATTGCTCTTGAACGAAAATGAACTTAGCCTAAGGGAATAGTCGGGAATAGTTTGCTATGCTATGCACCGATATGCATTATGAGACTCCAGCTGGGGGGCAACATTTCTTGTTCTCTACATGTATTCGACTACAGTACACCGGCGGTTCAATCTTATAGCATGATTGATTTCACTTATTAGCCTTTTCTACCGGTCGTAAATCTTCACGTTTGGCATAACTTTGCCCTATTTATGTCTAGATTGCACGCCATCCAGCCTTCCTGGCATCCTTTCCACCCAGATCCTTGAGATATGCATGAACTCTAGTTTCTATTCCTTGCGCATCAAGACCGAACCGACTGTAGTTGCTGGCGTTAGAAGCTGAGTATCCGTAGCTCGTCATACCAACGCTTGATGTTACATAACGTGCCCAAGTTGTTGCGATGTACTCCTCGACGCTCACGATAGGGGTTCCGTCCAACGGGAATACAGTCTCTCGATACGATTGATCCTGTGCGTCAAAATGGTCAAAGCTGGGGGCACTTACTACCCTGGCTGAGACTCCCGAGGCGTGTAGACGTTCAGAAGCCGCGACGGCATGGTGTAAGTTGGTACCACAGCTGGCCAAGATTACATCAGGCCGCTTAACGTCCTTGACAATGTATGCGCCTTTAGCGACCTGGTAACGATCTGTGTTTGGAACTGGTCCAACTGGATCTCGACCAAGTGAAAGCATGGATGGGCCAGTGGTCTTTGAGATGGCAAGCATCCAAGCACCAATGACTTCCTCTGCATCACAAGGTCGTATATAAGTCAAGTTCGGCATAGCACGATACAAAGAGTCCAGTTCAACGGGTTGATGAGTTGGGCCATTTTGACCTTCAGCAAATGAGTCATGTGTTGCGATATGGACCACAGGCAAATGGCTCAGGGCACCCATTCGAACACCTGGGGCAGCCTACAAAGACATTCAGCACCTATTTTAGGTCAAGCAGAGGCTGTTTCATCCATTGCCTAAAGAGGGTATCAAACTTACGTAGATGTAGAACATGAAGAATGTGGCCGTGAATGGAAGAAAGGTCCCGGGGTTATAAGCTGCGATGCCATTCGAGATAGATACCATGGCATGTTCGCGAATGCCGTAACGAATGTATCGTCCAGTATGCCCCACAGATGGATGGAACACCTCTGTAGGGTCATAGGCGACCTTGTTGGAGTTGACCAAGTCAGCACCACCTCCAATCAGAGCGGGATGGGCCTTCCACAAAGTTTCCAAGAGACTGCCATTGATCTCGCGAGTGGCATTCTTACTGAACTGCTTGGGGTCTATTGTATCAAGGCTCTTTCGCCATCCGTCCCCATTCTCACCAGCTCGTCTCTTTCGAAACTCCTCAGCTAGTTCGGGATATGCTGAGCAATATTCCTCGAGTAGGCTTTCCCAGTCGCTTTGTATTTTCTGGCCATGTTGTTTCCTCTCTCGGAAGTAATTAAGGGCGGAAGAAGGTATTTGATGCGTTGTAGAGGGATCCTGTCCAGCTAAACGTTTCGATTCGGCCACACTCTCGGCATCAAAAGCACCGTGATGGGCTTTATATGTTCCGGCACTGGAAGTACCAACACCAATGACTGTACGGGCATTGATGAAGACAGGCTTTTTGACAAGCGTGTTAGCATAGCCCAACGCTGATACAATCTTCTTGACATCGTATGAGCCATCGTCGATCTCAAGAACATGCCAGCCACTTGCGCGCATCTTGGTGTTGATGTCCTCAACATTGATCCAATCGAGAGGCCCGTCACAAGTCACTTGGTTATTGTCATAGATGACGACCAGGTTGTCCAGCTGAAGGTTTCCGGCAATTGACATGGCTTCTAGTGCCACTCCTTCCATCAAGCACCCATCACCAGTCATGCAGTATATGCGAGATGTGGCAACATCAAAACCAGGCTGGTTGAAGCGCGCAGACAGGTTCTTGCTCGCGATAGCGAGACCGACCGCGTTGGCGATTCCTTGACCTAAGGGTCCTGTAGTGACCTCGACTCCCGGAACTTCAATTTCAGGATGAGCATGAGAGATAGTTGTGTAACCATCCACTTTAGCACTCCCATAGCCCTTAAGCTCCTCCATTGTCCAGTTGTCATAGCCGACGAGATAGTTCAAAGCATACAGGAACATGGCGGTATGACCTGGCAGAAAAGATTAGCGATGTTGGTGAAGTGATGCCAAATAACAGGCTTCAACGACTTACCATTGGATAATACAAAACGGTCTCTGTTGAACCATCCTGGATCCGATGGATTGTAGCGCATTGTGTGCTTCCATAGTGCAACTCCAATAGCGGCCATACCAATGGCTGACCCGCCATGCCCTCCATTGTTTTGATTACAAATGTCAAATATGAGGTTGCGAAGCACCAAGACAGCTTGTTCATCGTCATCCATCTGCTTGAGCCAGCTGTTTGCCTTCTCCTCTCTAAGAGGCACCAGCGGAGCCAAGGTTTGATTGGACACTGGCATTTTGACTCTAGTCGGGGGAACAATCTTGGCTGATGCTTCGTTATGCTATGTTAGAGCAATTTATACATTTGGTTCCACACAAACTGAGTTGGGTAGTTAAATGCTCTTATCTGTTTGAACCGTACATGCGTTCGATAGCAGCCGGCCAAGGGCGCGAGTCTCCCTGCTTCCACCAAGATGCGGGACGCTACTCGGAACTCACACCCCGAAATTTGTTGCCCAATTTCGGCCCTGTAACAAGCGATTCATTCTAGTAAAAGCACTAACCGTATTCTACCCCGTGACCTTTCTCCGATCCATGTTTAATGGAAATGGATTCCCATCTTGTTTCCATCAGAAACCATTGGGATCAATGCCGTACTTCCCCATGGGATCGGAGCGGGTTTGTAAGCTTGCCGATACTCGGCTCTAGAACAGATGTTACAGTGATGTACTTGGCCATTCTTCTACGTGACTCCACACGATTCTTTGAGCGTCTCTGGTCTTGATGTCCGTTGTTAAGTATGCTTCCAAACTCGAGAGTTGTTCATAATTCATAATAGAGGGAGTTTACCTCCAGGATGGCAGTACAGGGACCATCATTCATGTGAAACACGACATATGGTCTGTATGTATCAGGGTATCCGGGAGAAAATTAGCAAGTATAAAAGCTAAAGCATCATGGCATCCCAAAGTCGTCAATTGAGGCCTAGCTTCATAACAGTTTGATACACCTTGGAACACTCCTTCTTAAATTGTGCTATCATACAAGTTGATCATTTAGACCGGAAGGATTTGAGAGCTGTCTCACGCGAACCACGACATGTACTCTCTAAGGGTCAGTAGTGTATGACAGCATGTCAGAACCGACGTGTTCAAAGCCGAAGTTAACAAGTAACGTGTTCAAATTTACCATGGTTGCTGCGTCTGGATATCTCTCTCACAGTAGAAGTATCATTCCTTGATTCGGTTCCCTTTTCGATCAAAGCAAATCTTGTTCCCAGTTCTAAGACTCTCTTGAAGGGCAGTGGCGATCTTGAGGGATGTCAAGGATGAACGCAAAGGTACAGGCAGAGGCGTATTATCAAGAAGGGAATTCACCCATCCATTTGTTTCCTTAACAAATGCCGCTTCGTAGCGCTCATACCAGCCTGTATGCGCAAACGTCTTAACTACGCCATCCTTATCGCAAAGCTCGACAGCATTGCGTCTTGGGATGAGGTTGACCGACAGCTTTCCCATAGTTCCAAGAATCTCAGTGGCGTTGTCATATCCATGTGCTGCCATTCTATTATTGTAGAAAAATGCGATCTTATTATCCCAATACTCGCAGATACCCACAGCATTATCGACATCTCCACAGGCTTCAATCTCAGGGTGGATTGCTCTCACGCCAACGGCGGACACAGACTTGGGCTGAGAGTCATCTCCGAATAATAAAAGAGAAAGGTCTATGTCGTGAATGGTAGCGTCCACAAATATGCCCCCAGAGTCTTTCAGATACTGCTTGTAGTATGGACTCTCGTCGATAGGGTCGCTAGCTTGAGAACGTATTACCACAGGCTTTCCAATGGCGTTTTGCTTGAGTTGACTCAGGGCATTCTGGTAGTTTTCATCGAATCTACGCACAAATCCCACCATGAGCCTTGCCTGAGGGCGGCCCTCGACTTGATCGACAAGAGCAACTAGCTGCGGTAATGTAAGCGATTCTAGTAGCGAAAGGTTTGTACGGCATTACGGACCTCATCCAACGTCTGGCACACTGGCTTCTCGCAAAGTACATGCAACCCTTTATTCAAGGCAGTTCTGGTTTGAGACGTGTGAAGGTATGTTGCAGATGCGATGAGGATGGCTTCGAGGCCTGGAATTTCGATCATTTCGTCAAAAGTGGGGACAAAATGAACGCCGTGTGGCACTAGATGTTCATTTGCCCATACCAGATCTGCCTCAGTGGGCGAACAGGCACAAATGAGATCTGCTCGAGGAGTTTGATGAAGTAGGTTCATAGCATGATGTCGCCCCATGCGACCAATTCCCACCACTCCGACCTTTAGTCGCCGGGGAACACCGTTCTTTTGTGCCGGCATCCTGAGGACCTGATGAATAAACGTTCAGGCTCGTTATGAGATCCGTTTGGTATCAAGGAAAGGAAGTTCAAAGGAAAGCACCATTGGTACACAGAGCGATATAAGGTGCGCTAAAAGCTTGGGAGATATATAAAGCTTTTGAGATCCTGAGTCAGGTGAATAGGGTAGAGGGTACGATCAGCCCTTCAACCAGCATCGGAAACTTGATCCCGGCCTGCAGGTGTCGTCTCCACGTGCCGAGTCATTACAGGGCGGGGAATCGCGAATCACGGGCCGCTGACCATCGGTTAAATTTGATTAGACGAATTGTCGATTGTTTCAATCTGATTCTCCAAGCAACTTTTGTTAACGACGTGCATAAGATCGTCAGCACCTATCTCCAGGTCATCCAGTTTCCAATAATGAAATTTTTAGATTAAACACAAGCATAGGCTCGGGTGCAAACATCATGTGAATTCCTACTCTAGCAATGGAGGACCGGGCGCAATTGATACAATAATGGATTCTGTTACTCGTTCTCCACGACTACCTTGATAACCAAATTTCCATCATCATCACGTGTCTTTGCAGCCATGTCAAAAGCTTTTAGGCTCTGCTCCAACCCTTGGAAGCGATGCGTGATAAGTTTCCTAATATCAGGGACACCTCCTTTGCCGGCTTGCTGCATCAATTCGATACCATAGGGATAGCAATTAGCATATCGCCAAACTCCCACTAAATCAACTTCTCGCAGAGCTGCGGCGGAAATTGGTAGGGTTTGAATTGGTGTGCCCATACCAACGAGAAGTATCTTGCCTCCATTACGTGTTGCCTGTTCTATAATGTTGGTAGCCGCTCTTGAAATAGCGAAACAAAGGTTGGAAGTCTAGTACTCACATAGATAGACGTCCGTACACACGATTCGACACCGGTACACTCAAATACTCTTGAAAAGGTCTTGTCATCATTTTCCTTTTGCAAGTTTATAGCGTCTTCCTTGGCGAAGACCAGGCCTTGCTCGATGTCCTTCGCCCGTCTACTCGGTAGCTTGACAACCTTGTCTGCAAATGCATTGCTAAGCGCGAAATCAAGTCTGTTCTGTACAATGTCCGCCATCACAATGTTGCTGTATCTGGAGCTCTTTGCGACGGCAGCGCACAGAAGCCCCACTGCACCAGCTCCGATGATGAGACAGCTTGCGCCCTGCTGTGCATTCGCTTTTCGAACAGCGTGTATCGCAACAGCAAGGGGTTCGAGGAGAGCACCTTCAGCATAAGATATACCTTCAGGTAATCTAAACGGGCGAACTCGTCAGTGGGGTGACAGAGATCTGTTTCAGCCACTTACTTGTGTACCCATTTGGCTGGGTGATTGAAGCGCTGCTGCAGAGTGCCCTGGTAGTGAGGGAAACAAGTAGCACTGCTCCTAAACTGTAGCTTCTCACACACGTTGTAGCTTCCATCCGAGCATTGCTCACAATCGTCACAAGGCACGCCTACTTCGACGGCGACTTTATCACCAACCTTGACACCATACTCTTGCTCAGCTTTTGACCCGACAGCGACAATGAGACCCGCAGATTCGTGCCCAGGGCTCAAAGGCTCTCGGATACAGAAGTCACCGTTCCGATAATGAGTGAAGTAGTGAAGGTCAGAGCCACAAAGAGTTGTAGCCCTCATAGCAATCTGTACTTCATATTCCAACGGTGCTTTAACTGTTCTGGTGACCTGGGGTATTGTTAGCTGGTGTCGAGATAAGCACCTGGCATATGACAGGTGATGTTTTTGTTTCAGTCGACTTACTTGTCTAAGATCCTTTGCTCCTCGTAGCTCTTGAGCTTTGATTGTTTCGGTTAATACTGAAGTCGCCATATTTAATAATCAACTACGATTGCCCAGACATCTAAATTTCTCACCTATGGCACTTAGAGCCTTTGGTTTTAAGCAAATGTTTTGACCAACGTTGAATTTCCCTAATTGAAGCCGAGTCCCAGCCTCGGGTGGTGAGTGATTCCCGATAACCGGTATCAAGATTGCATCATTTTGAGATGTACGATCGGATTTCAGGGTCCGTCTACCAATAGGACCAGGGCATCTATCCAACATAATTAAGATTAAATTTGAATCTAGTGAAGTGTCATCGAACTTGTTCCATTCTCACCAACGGGATCATTTTTCCGAGTGGGGGCACGTCATTGATATTCGTCAAGATTTGAGAGGAGTCCGCATAACGTTACACACAAGCTTTCAGCCTATTATTTATTACGTCGAAACAGGTAATTCTACTGCCAAACGCCTTAATTTCTACGCGACAATTCATTATTTGGAAACCAAACGTCGACAATATGGCCCACGCATTGATCTTTGGCGCCTCCGGGATTTCCGGTTGGTCTCTCCTAAACCAAGCAAGGGTCTACCCCTCACCCTCTGCCTTCGCTCGTATCACCGGTACTACGAATCGGCCGACCTCTAGTAGTCAGCTCCAGATCCCACAGGACGATCGCATTCAGCTGGCTTCGGGCATTGATTTGACCAAAAGCGTCGATGAAGTCGTTACTGCACTCGAGAAAAAAGTGCCACTTGTTGACACCGTTTCACACGTGTTCTTTACTGGTGTGTTTGCCTGCCAATATCACCCTAGCAATGGCTGGTATCTAGGCCACTAATTAGATTCAGCGTACATTCCGAGAGATGATTTCGAATCGCTCAAGACAGTAAACACCAGTCTTTTGGAAGTTGCTGTGCGTGCCGTAGAAAAGGTATCGCCGAATTTCAAGGTTTTTATCCTGCAGACAGGCGGAAAAGGGTATTTCATCTATCCCGTAGATCTTAATCTCAACGCTAACATCAAATTCCAGCTATGGACTTGAGTTCCCGAAAGAAGTCAATATTTCACCTCCCCTGAAAGAGACACATCCCCGCATCCCAGAGCCGTGGGCGAGCAAGATCTTTTACTATACCCAGTATGACCTGCTCAAGGACCTCTCCTGTGGAAAGGAATGGACATTCTCTGAGATCCGCCCAGACGGTATCGTGGGTTTTGCCCCAGGATCGAATGCAATGAACATGGCACAAGGTATTGCCATCTACCTTACCATGTTCAAGGAAGTCAACGGCACTGGCTCCAGGATTCCATTCCCCGGTTATGAACATGGCTACCATTCGACACATTCGGATACATTTCAGGATATTCTGTCCAAGATGGAGATTCACGCTGCTTTGAATCCCAACAAGTGTGGCAATGGTGGCGTCTTCAATGTAGCAGATGGAAAGACCATCACCTGGGCTCAGGTCTGGCCAAAGCTGTGCGAGCACTTCGGCCTCGTTGGCGGTGGGCCTGATGCTAGTGCCACTCCGATGCTTGATTTCGTCAAGGAGAACAAGCAAGTCTGGGTTAACATCGCTAAGAGACACAAACTCAAGGAGGAGCTTATCGATGAACAGGGCTGGGGGCATGTTCACTTCATGATGGTGGATTTCGATTTCGATAGACAGTATGATCTTTCTCACGCACGCGCTGTTGGCTTCAGGGAAGAGATTGATACAGTTGAAGGATATATTCACTCTTGGGAGAGGATGAGGGTCGCCAAGCTTCTTCCTCCAAACTAGACAGTGGTTAAATCAAGTAGTAGTCTCGATTGACTTATACTCTAGTTACCAGTAGACATGTCAACAGTAAGATAAAACCAGACTGCATCGCTTGTAAGGGCTCTCAGTAAGGTCAAATAAGGGCAAAGGGTCAGAAGAGAAGTTCCGTGAAGAAGACTGACGGCAACAAAAGGAAGTTTCGCAAGCAGACTCTGAAATGTTGCGATTTGTAACAACCAATATTGTTGGGACTTCTATAATCATATAATTGAGGTAAGGAATCATGTACCCTTAATTTTGTGCATACTAATTGGCTCAGACCCCTCATCGTGACTGGCTTGGAGGTCCTTGCGCTCTTAGGATATTAGTCGCTCTGACGCCCCTCGTGGTCTAGGCCCTTGCTCTGACTCTGTAATGAGCGCTGTAGGTTCCTCACAAAGCCTGTTTTGCTGGAGACCTAGGTACCCCGGAATTCCCCATGGGGTCAAACAAAACCTTAATAACCATAATCCCTGAGCATCGGAAATTGAAACCCTTCTATCTCCTTGTCGTCTTATACTATGGTCATAATGTAGTGAGCTTAGGCAGCGACTGGCCGGGTATACCGTTTATATATAAAGAGAAAGGATACGCTACATCATCTCCCTGGCCACAATCCTGCCTCAGACATCTCAAGCTAAGATCTACTTCTACCAAAATCTGGACTCTACACAACTAGCGAAATGTTTCTCGAAAACCTCCAAGGCCATGCTTTGATGACCATGATCACATTTGCCTCAGGTGCGGGTTTCGCACTATTCGGCTACGACCAAGGTGTGTTCGGCGCCTTTCTCGGTAACGAAAGCTTCATCAAGACCTTCAACCATCCCGATCCGACTCTCCAAGGCCAGATCACTGCGACTTATGATCTTGGCTGCTTTTCTGGAGCTATATTTGCCATGTGGTCCGGGGATAGGATGGGCCGCAAAATGACCATCGCATGGGGATGTGCCATTCTGATAGTTGGTGCTATCATGCAAACTGCTGCATTCCACGTCCCTATTATGATCATTGGACGTTTCGTCGCCGGTATCGGAAATGGAATGAACACGACTGCAATTCCTGTCTGGCAATCCGAGACCGCAGATCCTCGTCACCGTGGACGGTTCATGGTTCTGCAGTTAGGACTCAACCAAGTTGGCAACGTCATGGCCCAATGGCTCAACTACGGTATGTCTCATATAGCCGCCAACCCTGTCTCGTGGAGATTTCCTATCGCTTTCCAGTGTTGCTTCGCTGTTCTCACCGTCATGTTCCTACCTTGGCTCCCCGATTCACCACGATGGCTTGCTATGCGTGGCCGCAACGAAGAGGCGTACACAATCTTGAAGAGGCTTGGCGGATCGAACAGACCGGAAGACGAAACAAAGGAGCTATATGACTTGATGATGAGCAATCTGCGCCATGAGGCCGAGATGCCCAGATTTTGCTTCAAGTCCCTTCTCAAGAATGACCGTCTTCAAACGACTCGACGTATGCTGCTAGGCGCTGGAACCCAATTCATGCAGCAATTTGGGGGCATTAACATCATCAATTACTATCTGCCTGTTGTGTTTGCATCGCTCGGGGTTAACCGAAATCTCTCTCTCATCCTCGGCGCCTGCAACGCCATCAACTTGCTGTGCTCAACCTTTATTGGGGCCCTATACATCGAGTCGTTGGGCAGAAAGAAGATGATGGTCTATGGCGCAGCTGTACAGGCTCTCTGCTTTGCTCTGGTATCTACTGGTCTGGGTATCAACACTAAACAATGGCAAGCAGTCGCCGTAGCTTTCATCTTTGGGTACTACACGACCTTTGGACTATCTTGGATTGCTGTCCCATGGTTGTACCCAGCAGAGGTCAACACTCAGCAGATGCGTATTGCTGGAGCCGGAATCGCAACGGCGACCAACTGGATCAGCAACTACGTCGTAGTACTAGTCACACCCGTTGGGATCAGCAATATTCAGTGGAGGTATTACTTGATCTATGCGGTCTCGAATGCCGCTTTTATTGTTATTGTCCAGTTATTCTATGTTGAGACTGCCAAGTTATCACTAGAGGAGATTGATAACCTGTTTGATAGAGGCGTTGCTTTTGATGCGGAAGAAGCTCGCGCGGAAAAGGGTCCACAGATCGTTCATGTGGATGATAGCAGCAACGACAGCGCTAGGAAGTAGGTGAAAGAGGTTAGCAATTAAAATATCTTCTACTGGACCCAAATTGTTGGGGAATACTGATCACCTCCTGCTCTACTTGAACAATATTCGTCAGCAATTTGTAACCTTCAACGACTGTGTTGCATCCATGGCCATCCAAGGTTTTTGAACTCAGCTCCTGTAATACAACACAACTATCTCGAATGAATCTGATCAGTTTCAATGCTGAATTCGTGTCTATGGTTGACGTCTTTTCAAAGGCTATTTAGGGGCCATGCGACAAGACCTATTAGTAAATGACGCTGCGCAAGTGTCGGGAAATAGATTCCGAGCGGGGGCACCAGTGTTTTCCAGATGCTCCTTCTAAGCAAGGGCATTCTTTCACGCTTGCTCACGTGATGTTTTTACTGATGTGCGCGGTGGTTTTATCAGTGGATGAGAAATAATGATAAAACGGTAGTGAAAAAGATATTGTTCTCATGTTTCCTAGCATACAACATAATGATTGTAATAACGGTTCTGAGGACAATGAGTAGCATTGAAAAGGGCCAACGAAACCCCACATTCTAGAGCGAACTGTACCTAACTAATAATGTATTAGTGTCTTGTCGTTGCAAACCTCAAAGGCGAATGCGGGGAAGACTACACCAATGCATCTCCTCCTCAGCTCCCTTCTTCACCTTCATTCTCGAGATCCTTTCGCCCTTTTATGGTTTTGATCATGTCAGATGTTGAGAATTCCCAAACAAGGAGCCGCCGTCACATCACAACGGCCTGCGTACGATGCAGGGAGAGTAAGATCAAGGTGAGTGATAGCATCAGCATTAAGTCCTCAACGACCCCAACCTCAGCTCACATTACACCTGCTACAGTGCGATGGGAAGCAGCCCATTTGTGGCATTTGTAGCAGCAAAAACCGCGACTGTTCCTACAATGCTCGCATGGACAAACGAAGGTTCGTGAACTGCACGCCTCTCAAGAGTTGGCCTGACCTTTGACCTAGGATCCCGTTGCGGCGCGCTGTTGAAGTGTTCTCGCGCCGTGTCTCTCAATTAGAAGTATGCCTCCGTCAACGGCAAATTGAGATCCCTGCACCTATTTTGGATGACAGTTCCATGTTGAGATATCTCACAGAATCATATGGAGATTCTGTGCCGATTACTGCAAATGATGTCGCTCCTGACATGCCTGAGTTGAGCCAAGCCATGTCCTTGGATGGAAATCTCACTCAGAACTCAACATTCCGAGGTGATGGTACGGCAAATATCCAGTCTGACGCCTCTATCTCAACAGAAACGATCAAAACACCGATGGCCCTGTCTGGAGACATGACAGATCAGGCTAGAGTTGGTTGCACCACATCATCATCGCATCAATTACCCATGGACACGAGCATTGATGCAGATCTTATATGGTTCATGTCCACCCTGCCGTCTCTGTCCGCAGATATTGGAGATCAGCTACTCGGACCACTGCCAATCTCCTTGGGCGGTGAGAATCCTACAACACTTCAAGATGACTATGGTAGTTCAGATATCTCGACTGTAGCTCCTCTCCAAGAGAACGATGAAGAACACGCAGAGGATGAGGATACAGCAGAAGTCTCTCACCAGTTTTCCGAGCGCCTGGGGACATTGCTGCTGAATCCCAATGGGGAATGGAGATTCTATGGCGCCACGTCTAATCTTCATTTGGTCCACGGTGATTTTGGGCATGACTTTCCTGACTTGAGTCGCCGAAAAGGTGTTCAAGCCATACTCGATACTGCAGGTGTAGGTCATACAGTTGCTGAACAGCTCATCAACCACCTTATCACTCTGTACTTTACGTGGCAAAACCCGAGTCTTCGTGTGGTTGATCAGGAGGCCTTTGAGACTGCTCGTAACGAGTTTCTGTTAAGCCCCAGGGAAGATGGACTCTATGGTGAGTTTCTTGTGAATGCAATGTAAGACATTCTTCCTTAGCGAAATTCCCGATCATTCCTAATAGTTTATAGGTGCGCTGTTGGCGCATCGTTTGAGCGTTGCAAACATCCAGAACTCCCAACTCCGCTGAGTGATTTCTTCGCTAACCGGGCAAAGAGTCTTCTAGACTCAGAGTTGGACAAACCTCGACTTAGCACTATTCAGGCCCTTGCTATTCTAAGCACCCATGAAGGAGGAGCTACCCGTGATACACGAGGTTGGTTATATAGCGGTATGTCAGGTGATTATTATGTCTTGGTCCATCATCTGACGGGTATCGGCTTATTTAGGTATGGCTATGAGGCTTGCCTTTGACCTAGGACTCCACATTGATCCGACACCATACGTCGCAAGTGGTAGGATGTCAGATATTGAAGCCCGTGTTCGAAATGTCACCTTCTGGGGAACCTTTGCCACGGATCGGATGTGGGGTTTCTATCTCGGCAGGCCATTTCATAATACCCTCGAGAACGTTACTCTGAAGCGGCCTTCTGTCACACAGTCTGACACTTTTTGGACACCGTACGGGACTCCTGTTGCAAGCCAACAAAGGTGGCCGGATACCCAGGAACTCATCGCGGGCAGATGGGTTTCGTTGTACGAGATCATGTCGGAGCTTGGATACAAGATGTAAGACTAGCATAGCCTTGGGATTCCCATGTAGACTAACAGAACTTAGGTACTGCAGGACGGATGTCAGCAAGATCGAACTGCAGTCATTGGCTCAAAATACCTTCCACGAGCTGAAAATGTGGAAATCAACCTTACCACCGGAACTGGCACTGAATGTGGATGATCTGGCTGCCGGTGTCTATCTTCCGCATACTCTGATCCTGCAGTAGGTTCATCTTGAGAACGTCTCGCTGGATATCATCTGACCGCCCACCAATAGCATGCAGCATGCCTTTTGCATCATGATTCTTCATCGCCCCTTTGTTGCCAAAAGCTATATTCAGCCCTATCCCCGAGTTGGTGCAGGACACGAGCATGCACGGAGCATGTGCGTAAACTCTGCCATCGACATTGCTAAACTGATTGGAGGCTATAAACTTCGCTTCTCCCTGCGTCGTGCGAATGTCTTGTTTGTCCATATGGCATTTACGGCAGCCCTGATCTTGGTCTATGCCGCTGTGTCAGAGCTGGAGAACCATGACAGAACTCAGGTTACTGCGCATCTGGATGTTTGCTGCCAGGCACTGGCTGAGCTTGGCAATGTTTTTGAGAGCGCATCGAGAACATTGGATATTTTGCTGTCACTGAAAAGGATGTGGCAAGCACGGCTGGTTGCCTCATTTCACCGGAAAAGACGATGGAGTGAGAGTTAAGGGGAGCAGGCTCGCAGCAAAGACGATGGAAAGTCCCCTAGTTCGAATCGGACAATTTACGTACGAGAGTCGTTCTGATTCATCCTGTGACTCTTCCATCCCAAGAAGCCTATTGGTATTCAGTATACTGCCAGCAAGCACAGTGGGGGAAAACCAGTTTTCGGTTGCACTGCCGGCTCCTTATTACGCTTCAGGGCTAAAAATTCAATGAGATATTATCGCCGACTGCTGTAGGCTGCGCAAGGAACGGAAAGGGTCTTTGATCTACAGGGGTTTCGCTTGCCTGAGAGGTGGAATCAGCAGAGAGAACCAAGTCCTTTTCTCATTCAGGATCGACATCTCCAGTTTCCTTTCCTCCCCTTTATCCTCCATTAGATAGGATTGTAAGGCAGGCCTTTTATTGTGGTTTCACAAGGGGTTTCCACTCTGCAGTGGGCTAGCCCTGATCCTTGTCTGATCTTATCCTATCACCAGGTATGAGCCATCACGTTCACGAATCCACTCAGTCTCACTGCTGACACTTAACCCCGCAGTAAGAAGACCGTTTTTTACAATCCCACCTTGTTTCAAAAGCTGAGCATATTCTTCACTGAGAATTTGACTGTCAAAACTTTGTCAAAATACCCAGCGACTTTTGTCTGCTGGTCCACCTGATAGTGTAGTAATTATTGAGCCCCAGTCGCGGAAAAAATGTCTATCCAGAAATCAACACTATGCTGCTTCTGCCGTCAGCTCGAGCCGGCAGACCAACCTTGTCCTTCGCTCCAGAATCAACCAGTCCAGGCCTTTCCCAGTGGTATAAGTAATACCACGAAGCCATGGACCAGAAAGGACGAGGACTTGCTCGAACAGCTCCGCCAGTACCCAAGTAAGCTCTGTCAACGATGTGCCGAATTCGACATTGTTCGCGCCTTCAACGAAGCGGATCCTTTGGATGAGAGCCAGAGAGGCGAGCTAGAAAAGGCTCAGTATATTGAACACGCTGAGAGACAGGAACCGTACAGACTGCGCTTCGGTCTGTTGTCACAGTTTCACATGAAACCTTCTTGTCCGCTATGCCGGTTACTCTATCGGCTCATTCCTAGACCACCGCCGGAGCACGATACTACTGTTCTCACGCTTATCCCTTATCGATGGCATATCCGACAGGATCACTGGGAAGGTGTTCCAGAAGATGATAAGCCGATGTTCGCAATTTGGTTTGGACTTTCAACGCCGGGTCTTGATATGTCGGGGCCGAGTTTCTTTAACGCGGGTCAGCAGCTGAGAGCTGCTATGATGACTGGTGAAGCAATTGCTTTGCACCCGAGCTCGTCTCCAGAGGAATTATACAATGCTAGGGTTATAGACGGGATGGTTGATGTCAATCTCATTAAGAAAGGTCTTGAGCGTTGTCAGAACTATCATTCAGAGAGTTGCAATGCCAAATTCGACAAAGGCTTGCTCATTACGAAGATGCTTGATGTTGATACCCGGAAGGTGGTAGACTGTCCTGACAACTGCGACTATCTAGCTCTCAGCTATGTCTGGGGAGGTATACACCCAGCTGATGGAGCTTTGGAGGCTGGGACACTTCCCCAGACGATTGAGGATGCTATCGCCTTGACCAAGAGGCTTGGGAAACGATACCTATGGGTATGTTAACCCAGTGCTTCTTTAGGATACCGCTAACTCTTCAGGTGGATGCCCTCTGTATCGATCAAAGTCCCAATCCAACGCCCGAACAAGCAGCCAGCAAAGCCAAGCAGCTCCAACTCATGCACTTGATCTACTACTGCGCCACTATAACTATCTTTGCTGTCGCTGGCCCGCGCTCCGACTACGGAATCCCTGGAATCTCAAAGCCACGCGTGGGGTCTACACGAGAGCGCATCAACGGAAAGGATCTCGTAGTCGTCCCCCCGCAGATTATGTCAGAGATCAAGTCTTCCGTTTGGCAAACTAGAGCATGGACGTGGCAAGAAGATGTTCTGTCTACGCGAAAGTTGTACTTGACGGAGACGCAGTGGATATTACAGTGTAGTGAGACGTTGGGGCCAAGTGATTATGCGGAGGCACATGACACGGCTGTGGATCTTACTTGGACCAAAGTTTCTGGCGGGAAGATGAAAGCTGGTTACGTCGAGGTTTGTCGACCCATTGTCATAAGCTCCCAAATTCTAACGAATCTAGGCCACGAACACCGAATTTCTGGACAGAACTTCCTCAATGTTCATATCAGCGGTTACAACATATACCTCGCGGTCTCTCACTAACGACGGTGACTCTCTGAACGCCTTCCAAGGCGGCCTCGCACGCTTCGGTAAACCAGTCTACCCTCAAGGTTTCGAATGGGGAATGCCACTCAAAGAATTCCCACAATCGCTGGCTTGGATCCACGATCATACCGTCAAGCCTACAAGACGATCGGCATTTCCAAGTTGGAGCTGGGCCGGTTGGGGCGGAACCGTGCAGTATCCCACTGATCTTACAGAAACAGCTACCGAGAATGGTGATCTCATTCCGCGGATGGTCAGCATCGATGACAAGGTTGTCACGCTAGAGGGATGGACTGTAACACTTGACATTCGAACTGAACCGTTCAGTGAGGTGGTCATACCTGGGACTGACCAGGCGATTGGATGTGTTACGGAGAGGAATTTTAAGCATAACATGACTCTACCAACGGGGAAGTATCGGTGTTTTGTTGCCGCGAGACTGAAAAAGGATGTTTTGAGAAATGGATTGGTTAATCAGTTGGTCTTCCTGGTAGTTTTGAGAGGTGACAAAAATGTTGAGATTGAAGAGAGGCACACAGCTATCACTGTGAGCAGGCTTGCTATTGAGGGGAAGGACTTTATGGAGTTTGGTCCAAAGAAGACACTCATCAAGATGAAGTAGAGCTAGTCCAGGGCTGGAAATATACAGATGAGGCAAGATTCTTCGTTGTTCAATTTGTGAAGGTATTCTATTGTATGTGTATCTTCATTTTCATTAAATCATGTACGTAAATCATTTCTTTCATTCTTATTCCAAGGCACTCAACCATCTCGACAAATCCTTCGCTCCATCCGCAGTCCTAAACTTGTGCCCATCATCCCAAGGCGCAACCTCGGCCGGCTTAACAATATGGGCCAACTGCAGATGAGCGACCGCCATCATCGACGACGCCGATATCCTCACCCCCGAACTCAACGACACCGACGTCAACAGATCAATCTCATGTTTTCGCACAGTATCTGACGTTGTATCCTTCTCTTGATCAAAAATAGCCCGCCAGTGACCCGTTCTCGCAAGTTGAGAGCGAATATCCTGTTCCTCTTCGTACACTGCTTCTTCGAGGGTACTATTGCTGAAGGCGGAGGAAGATTCTTGTATGCCCCGGATTTTGCAGAACCATTCGATTTTGGAGCCGATGACTTCTATACCAAAGACGAGGGTTGCGATGAAGACGGATGCGCGCTTCTCGTTCTTTTTTATGCTTTGCATGCCCTGGATAGCGAGGACGCGGCCGTAGTGGCCTGCTTGGTCCCATGATTGGAGGCTGATGGTTCCGGATTCGAGGCGGGGGCAGGATGTTATGCTGTCGTAGGGAATGGCACCGCTGTCTAGAGTAACTAGAGCTTCGTAGCTGCCGTAGCCGTAGAAGTCGGGCTGGTATGAGGCGCGCTCTCGACTTCCAGCGATGAACATGTTTTCTTCCCGGAGTTTTGTAGATCCTGTGAGGACTGGTACTGGACAGGGTGGTGTTCGGTTACGAGTGCAGCGATCCTTTCCTGGCAAGCGGTTCAAAAGCAGTGCAACTTGTTGGTTCTCTGAGTCTCGTCTGGCGTTGAGCAGAACAAGCCATTGCTCGACTGACTCGGTGATGGTGTTCATGATAGGCAGTCTGATTGACAGACCAGCATTCGTCATGGTATATGTTTTCGCCTCGTGGACAGGCCATTCGGTGTAGATGCTAGAGTCGACAAATGTTTTTGGGGATGGGGAGAGAATGCTGGCCCAGTCGTGAGGAACGTAACGTTCGTCCCAGGCCCAGCAGAAGAGTGTCTGGTCGTTTGAAACACGGATGATCTCTTCTTGTAGTCGAATAAACGCTCTCATTCCTTCACCGTAGACGATCTGCATGTTGATGTCGAAGATACCCAGCATGCAGTATGCGATATCCTCGACTCTTTCTGTCTCTCGTTTGGATAGCCAAGACATGCGCTCACCAATACTGGCTTTGTAAAAGGCGCAGTCGAGGTATTGCTGATCAATCTTGGTAACGAACGAAATCGTATTGGCAAGTGTCTTTCTCGTTCCAATCGTCGTCCAATCATTCGCAAAGAACACCACCGACGTAGGAGCCAAAAGCTCAGGCAGGGTCCAACCTCTGGTAAACCACCTCGACTGTCTAAACTGCACCATCGGATCAAAAGCGCCCGTATCAATGGGCGACACGTCACTCAGATAGACATAACAAACTGAAGCATTCTTGTACCAGGAAAACATGGCATTCAGAGCCTCAGAAACCTCTGAACTGCTGCTCTTGTCGATACAGTTGGTGTCGCACCAGAGATACATGAGGCCATCCTTTCTCGCCTGCTCGCAGACGCGACGAATCTTCTGATGGCCCTTCTTGAGCTTCATGAGCTCGAGGTTGCCCTGCCAGTCTTGGTACGTGGCCTCGTCGGGACCCCATGTGTGTGATAAAATGGCATATTCTGGAGGCTGGCCGTAGAATTCCTCTAGCTGGAAGGTTTTGGTGTGTATGAGACGCATTCTTCTGGCGGGACATTTGATGAGACAGGGTATAAGTGAGAGAAAAGGTGATGAGTTTGAGGGGAGAATTGAGGAGAATTGTAGGGGCTTGAAATAGGGATCCATACCGATTAATGGGTTTTGGCGGTGAAGCCCCACTGGTGGAATCGCGATGATGTGGCATGCATATTGGGGATGGTACACGATGCTAGATTTGCTGGCAGGTAGCAAATTTGAGCTTGTTGTCATGAGTCAGAGTTTTGTATCCTTGGATTAAGTGGTATAATTGATGCCCAAGTGGATTGCCAGCAAAGTATGTATCGGCGATGGCGTGAGTCAATGACCGCCCTTTCGTGGTGTTGATGACATGACGCCCTGGTCCTTGGCGGATGTACTGGCGATCCGTGTTCCTGCAAGACACTTGATTGAGGAGGATGTTGCGGGTATGCATGTCGCAGATTATGCAGGTGCAGCAAAGACACGATGCAGACTTGGACAAGGTGTTTGCTGCTCCACTGATGATTCGTGGCACGATGCCTATTTTGAGGGTTGTTCGTCTGGTGCATAAACTAATTCGACATGAAAACACACTGTGAGCTATGAACTTGCTATGAAGGAACATTTCATCATTGTAGCACTGGATGTTACTGTTTGCAGCCCAATGTGACACAATGGCGGGCGTTGAAGTAGAACGGCCCAACGGCGGTGACCAGCAGCTGAAACAATCACTGGCAGCCATACGTTCTATCGGAATTATTGTATGTTTGATTTCTCATCAAAATCAACCGCAGGCCCTAAGCTTAGACTAAAATGATATTATCTAATCATAAAATAGTGTCATCTCATCTAAGAATGCGGTTTACGTCAAGGTCCTCTTGAAACAAGGACGGTACCGGACAGTACTTTGACGCTAAAAATACACACCGGAGATTTACCCCAAAACAGATCCTCTGCAAGTAACCACATAGTATTTCAATCTGACTAATGTTCAATTATGAATGACAACGCCGACAAACCCTAAACAGAGAGAGTGTCCCCATCCAATAACCCATGCAATTCTCAAGGCAGTCCACTGACATTAACAGCCAAATACCGATCCGCAAAAGACCCCTGCGTATAATTCTGAGGTGTCTTGAGCGACGGCACAAGATGCACCGGTACACTAACGGTCAAAACACCACGACCTGCGTTATAAGTCGACGTCAATCCAGAGTCAATGACAGTCATCCCGTTTTCATCCTCAAAGTCAACACTGATCTGTGACTCTGGCGGTGCAGTGGCTTGGACGGTCCAGATGGCAAAGTTGTAAGCATCGCCGACTGCTGCTTTGGGGTCGTAGCCGTCCCATTGGTGCCGAATGGTGATTTTGCGGTTTGTCCCGGTGTTTTCCTGGAACTCTGTTAGTATATGGTAGAACACGGAGAGGCATTGGGTATTACCTGGGTAATTTTGACTTCGCGGTAAAAGCCCTTTGCTTTGGCGTACAGTGATGCATCTTTATGCTTGTGCTGGGGCAGGTCGATGGGTGCACTGTCGCGACTGACACCATCGTCAAGATACATCGAGTATGACTGCAGAAACACTTAGCGTACGAAGTTTGAGAGTCGTGGCAGTACTTACAGTAGTCTCTTTAGGCTTTCCACCTGGATATACATGAATGGTAGGCGGGTTCAGATCGCCCTCCTTGACCCACTGACGAACATCAAGTTGAGGAATGATAGCACCTGCACACTATTAGCTTTCTCCATGCCAATGGCAGTTCCTACTCACCCCCTCGGATATACACAGGAGTCACGTAAGCGACCTGCTCCGGATGCGCAACAGCATCGGGAATATGACAATCATAGTCCACAATCTTGCCGCCTGGTGCTGGTTTCTGCAGCACAGCAGCATGTTTGAGAATTGGATCCGGTCCAAATCCTTGGTTGTTAACACGAAGGTTGGAGGGATACCACTTGTCCGAGTTTGGAAGATAGACATCGCGACGGTCTGCCTTTTCCTCAACCTGAGGACAGACAAGGATGTTATGGCCCAGAAGATACTGGTTGTCGATAAATCCTTGGTTAGAGTTGAAGAGGCTTGTGTCAAAGGGGTCGGTAACGAGCTGGATGGGTTAGTAAATAGTCATGTCACTTGGTTGAGGACTTACCATAGCACGTGCGACAGGCAGACCATTGATCAGGTTCGCAAACATGTAGTCGTACAGGACTTGAAGGAGAGAGTATCGAAGCTGCACATAGTACCTACAAACAGGCACAACAGAACGATACAACGCAGCCTGGTCAGGCGGAAGAGGGCCAGGAAAGTTGTTCAGAATATCGCCGTAGGCCCAGGGTTCCTGCTTTTGTCAGTATCTCGCCCGGACATCTCAGACCCAACTTACCTGGAAAGCTTTACAACCTCCAGAACTCGCCTCAGGATGCTGCAAGTAGTGATTCCTGTACCAGGGCAGCAAAAACGCCCCAGCATACCACCTAATCAACAACTCAGGATCACACCACCTCGGGTTCGGCAGCTTATTAGCCGGATCCGCCGTAAAACCACCCATATCCACACCCGCAATACTTAAACCGCTATATCCCAGCGCAAGGACCTGGGCAACAGAGATTCTGAAAAAGTCCCACGAGCTACCGTTGTCACCGGTCCACAGCCCAGCGTAGCGGTGCATGCCGGTCTGGCTTCCGCGACCGATGATGAAATTGCGCTTGTTCTCGCGGCCTTTGAGATTGTTGAGGCCGTGGTATGTTGCTTTGTGGAGATTGTACGAGTACAGACTCCAGAGCTCGATGGCGGTTTTGGTCTTGGGTGGGTTGGTGTAGCTGTCGTCTGTCATGAGCAGACGGGAGGGGAAACTGGCGTTGTTAGATTTGTCGGGTTAAGGTAGGGGGGGGATGTACCCGAGGGAATCGCCGTAGCATTTTGCGGCAGCGGGAGTTGTCATGTCTGATGGGGGGTTAGCCTGAGTTCGTAGAGATGTTGTGTAGCGCGACTTGCCTTGCCAGACGAATTCGAGACCGTTGTCGAAGAGATACTGGTACTGCTCACCCCACTTCTTCCTTGCAGCTTTTCTGTTCAGATCAGGATAGAACCCGGGCTGTCCATGTTAGACCGTTACTGTCATAGCCAGGGGCGGAAGGACTCACAGTCCCGAGGTTAGT